GGATGAAAGAGCTGAGTGAACGTCTCAGATCAGTCTGGAATGAGAACACAACACATTCTGTTGCCGTTCCTTTTGTGTTTCTTTGATACAGACTTTGTTATCGCAACACAATATTTGTTGTACATATGTATGCTACAGTTAAGTGCTTGTACATATATATTATGTTTCGCACCCATGTGAAATGTGTTATAAAAGTTAAAAAGAAAAAAAAGGAAAATGAACAGATATACAAACAAATAATTAAAATATATTGAAAGAAAAAATGAATTATATAAAATTATCCAAATGGTTAAATTGATTGTATATATCACATCTTAAATACATTTATATTAATCATTATATCATTTTTATTATGTTCTAATCCTTCTCTTAACACCTGAAGCTCTCCGTTCACCACTGCTCATCTCCTGACTTTGTAAATCTTTGACCAGGCACATTTAGACGAGTGTAAAGTGCTAGTGCAGTGCAGATGACCCGTGACTTGTACTCGTGCTGGTGCTTGTGAATGGGCGCAGAGCCGGAGTGGGGCCTTTTGTGAGGAGGGCTGTGTGAATGACAAACAGGTGTGTCCTCCAGCCTTTCACATATAGACAGACACCAGTAGCTTTCCGCGCTCCAGGCCTGGGGACACCTTTGTATGCCTCCAGTTTGGCCTTTTTACTGGAACATGTTTGCAGACTGTGAGTTTCTGCTGCTGTTCTGATGTGGTTTCTTTTCTCTCTTTGATGTATAGAAGAACAGAACCCTGCCACCTTGGAAGATTCATAGTATAGGAAGATTAACACTACAGGCCTTTTGTGTTTCGGTAATGGCAGCGTGTTTGCTAGTGACTAATTACAGGTTATTTGTCATGGGATGATAACCACATGGCTTCCTGTCTGCATCAAACTCAGAAATACCAATTTATGTTACATGCATGACTTTGGAGCGGCCATGCCTATCCCTAATGTGAAGTGGGGTGCAGCTCTCCTCCACTGCTCTTCACGTTAGGTTTACTTTTGAATGTGCTGGAAATGGCCACAAGTCCTAAGTTACTTTGAAACAGTTTTATAATAGTTTTTCTTGCTTTGTTCTAACTGTAAATGTTACTACAGTACAGTGTTCATAGTTTTACAATGATCCAGACCAGAGTAGAGAGGATACACGGTCCCAACCAAGCAGACCAAGCATATAACCACTGTAGGAATGCAATTTTTTCTGTTGAAAAATGCTAATTAAGCATTCAGAATTTCACTTTAAACCAGAGCGGAGAAAATGGTCCGAACCAAGCAGACTCTGCATCCTTCAACCTGAGGATAAGAAGCAGTTCATCTATCTATCTATGTGTGTATCTATCTATCTATCTACTTAAGTGGATGAAGTTGATGCTGAGCTGTGGAGGGGGAATGAGAGCTGCATTAAAAGCTGTGTTGTTGGATGCACTTCAAAGAGTTGAATATACAGGTGGTGCCAGGAGTTGTATATCCAAACAGCGTTCTTCTCTCCCTGAAGGAAGTAGATCACGTTGCAAGTGTAAATTGCAGGATGTGATAAAACCACGTAACATCACTGACACGAGAGAGTGGATCGTGCACTTGTGACCTCTTCTGTGCAGGACACAAGGCGACAGTGACAGGGGGGAAACTGGACCAGGCCTCCCGGCAGACTGGGAATCTTTTTACTAACATTAGACAGAAATATGTTTTATTGATCAACCAAGTTCTGGAAAATACATCTGTCACAGTCACAATTAATCATCTTTTTATCTGTTTGATGATTTGAATGTTTTTCATTTTGTAAAGCATTTGTCTTGTTCATTTGTCTTACGCAGACTGTTATATGACAGTTACTGAATACAATGACTATGACTCGTACCCATTAGTGTTATGGGCCTTGGCATTGTTTTTCCTCCGTGCCTCCACCCCTTCAGCCTGGGTGCCTCTGCATCACCCACTGGCGGATCGCCGGCACCTGTGGAAGCCAATCTACCCGGGCATAAAAGGTACCAGGACCAACTGAGGGCTGACGTCCAACGCTGTAGCTATTTTGTTTATGTACATTTCAGTTTGGTTATTAGTAATTCTGAGCTTGGTCAAATGTATTATGTAAATGTATTATTTTTGCATAGTCCTCGACCTCTAACCTTCATCTTTTAGTCTGTTAGGATTATAACAACAAGCATTATTATGCTACCACCCTGGACCCCCCTGTCGTTAACATTGTATGACATGGTCAGTAATATGTAGTGAAGATACTGATAACCAATCTGTCTTAAGTTTGATTTAAGTAACAGCATTAACTACGGTTCCAGTTATTATCTTCACTTAAACCCTCTCTGGGTGTTCCTTGTACTTCATGATACAGTTTAGTCACAAATACACTCTTAACATATCTCTGAGGCCGTCACAGAACAACTGTATATTCTGACCCAGCCTGTCATGGCGGCCAGACCACCGGCTTCCGGGTCAATGATAAGGAAAGGAATTTTCTTGATGCATTTAACAGATTTGGATCGAGGTGAGAGTAGATCACGCTCCATTTAATCATTATGGAAACTGTGTGCAGTCAGCTGTCATGAAGACATGTTCAGAGCAATTGAATGCACTCAGAGGAATGCAGGATGAATGATAGGCGATATGAAAACATGTACAAGCCCCACTTTTCAGTTTCAGGCCTGAGAGAGGCCCTTGGAGGATGGGTCAAATGCAGGAGACACATTTCTCTATAGGGACAGTGAAGTACACCATAAACGCTTTTGCCTCGTGTTGTGTTGGTCCCTTACAGTCAGAATACACATACAAATCTTTATTGACACAAACAGCTCCATAAAAACTGTATTTGACTCAGCAGCGATAACAACGTGCCTGTGTGACTCCCTGACATAGATGTTCTAATGGAGTTGCAGTGTCTGGAAGCACGTCTGTGGCCCGTCCACATTCCTGCAGTTGTTATGATGCTCTCAGGATCCGTCTGACAAAGAGCGCGCTGCTCTTTCCCCGCCGCAGCACAGGTAAACAGGAGCTTGTCATCGCGCGCAGGTGAATCCATTGAGTCTGCGCCTCTGGTCTCAGCCCTGGCCTTTCAGCGACTCAGAACCAGCGGATACATGAGACAAAGGAGCGTCTTAACATGTAGCCGCAGCTGGCAGCGGCCCAGAGCCCCGGGGCGCACACGTCTCCCCTGAACAATGACAAACACACTGAACCAGGCTCAAAAGATGGGCTCCTCGCTGACTAATGCTGCTCTTCCTGTTTGCTACGACTCTCTCTGTCCAAACACCGCAAACAATGTTCATTCAGCTATTTTATTTCAGACAATCACAACACGTATGTATAAAAAAAACTTGATAGTGTGATACAAAAATAAATTACTTTCTATCCAAACCCACATCTTAGCCCATATAAAGTGTACATTTACAATAGGTCTTGTTCACATTTGGAAGCGTACATAAAGAATACTAGAACATTCCTTTTAACTCTATTACAACAATGACAACAAAAGGGGATTAAAGCTATGAACAATGATTCCGTATCTAGTAAAGTAACTGCATAAATATCTTTACAACTCTATAGCGCGATCCGTTTACCCTAATATAGAAAATATATCAAACTCATTTTTCTCAACACCCTATAAGCTGATATTGTTTTTTTATATACAATAACTAAAAATGACAATCACAATGAGAGCAACAAGGCAGAAAACAACTCTCTGGACTTGATAGAGCATAATAACTGTGTATCACCAAGTATTTTAGGCTAAACACTAGGAGCAATTTGTTCCTAGTGATTTCCCTGTTTTTAAACTAATTTGTCACCAAAAAAAAATCTGTGTTTAATGACCACAAAGACCTAGGTTTGAACGTGCTTACGAGTGTCCTCCCAGTGCTAGATGTTGTACATTTCTTTATACCAATTAAAATCAATAATACGCTGTAATCAAATAATTTAAAGAGACTGATTGGTAATCGCCTCAAAAGAAGAGAGTGCAATGAACATGTCAGACATCGTGTGTAAATTTGGCCCTTGGAAAAATGGCGACCTAGTGAGCCTCTGTCGTTCCTTCAAACTCAGACCATTTTTTTGGAAACGCCAATTGGGGAAAAAAAATAGTTACGTGCTTGTCTTGTGCACACTGGGGACTGTTGCAAATGTATTCCAATGTGGTTTTACTGCAAATGGCAAATAATTGAATCTGAATCTGAACCTGATCTGACAATGAATGTGTGATTTTACTTGTCAAACTGTGTGTGTGTGTTTTTTAGTCTAGGGGTAGTTTAGGGTTAGGGTTAGTTAAAGGTTAGGGTTGGACAGTTAGTCGTTTGCTCTTCTGAAAGATAAATCCCCATACACTTCCCTTATGGAGTTTTGAAAAATCATGATAAAAAGAGTTTTAAGTTACGGCTAAAGCCAATAAGCTCTGTGGCAACTACCATCCACTGTGCGCCTCATCAGCACCAAACAAGCTCTCAAATGTTTATCATATAATTTTTCCCCTGAACACCTCAGAGGAAAATGAATAGGACAGCAACTTAAACTCAGCAAATATAGCTTATTATTTGTCCTTGTCCTTTTTTGTGCCTTATAATAAACCTTATTTGAGCTCAAGGTTTGGTCAAGGGAGATTTCAATTATGAGAAGGAAGGATGAGGAAGGAGGTGTTTCACTGAATTCGGATGTTAGGACTTTGACCTCTGCGCACAAGGAGCGACATTAACTCTGGACCTCCCAGAGCAGTCATTTTGATGGCTTTTCATTTTGAAAGTGTAATTAGTTCACTTATGTAATTTTTTTGACTTCATAACTTTGCGACTTTTTCTGTTTCTAAATGTAGATTATAGCTATGTAACTATGTTTATGAAATTAACTTGATCTATTATTTTGAATGGAAGCGGTCAAAACTGCTCTGTCAAGACTGCACTGGGAGTTCCATCAGTTTCAGAATTCTGACAGTCCAAAAGTGTAAAGTGGCTCGACTCCTTCCACTTACACTTTCATACATATACACAGTATGAGGCTTCACGCTCAAACAGTCTGTTCCTCCAGGGTCAGGCTCAGCGCACTCTTCTTGTGGCCCCTCCTGCGGCTCTCGGCGTGGGCCAGGTCTCTGAGCGCCGGCTGCTTATGGGCCGAGTCGTTCTGCTGGCGGCTGTAGCGCTTGCACTTGCAGGAGGTAACCACGGTGATCTTGTAGGTCCTGGCCGATCCATCTTGGCACTGAAGCTGGATGCGCTGTGTGCGGGTGCGGTCGATCACGCAGCGCCACTCCACGGTGTCGCGGCGGCTCCAGTAGCGGCCGGAGGAGCTGGTGCCGCCGCCGATCCAGTTGGGTAGCAGGTGCGAGGGCAGGCACTCCCCGGCGCACACCAGCTCCTTGATGGGGTTGACGCTGGTGCACTGGCCGTCCGAGATGTACTTGGTGGACCTCAGCTCTCGGCAGCCCACCTGGCTCTGGTCCGGCCCTGGGAGACACAAGGTACATGGTCATCATTGTGTGTGGGGAAAATCTTGGAACTCCCAAAAAACATTGTGAAGCTCTTTAAGTGACTTTCAATTCCAACTCATCATCAGACTCAAACATTAACATTTTAAACACAACATCATTCAAGATACTGTTCAAAAATGCTGACAAAATTCAAAATCAAATTATTTATTTTTTTATTCTATTAGAATTTTATCTCAGTGGGCCGGTGTGGCTGCAAGTTTTCGTTCCCAGCACTCACCAGACTCCTCCCATTTTGGTCCATGCAATACACTTTATCAATAAAGAAATACTTACTTACAAAATCAAATTAAAAAAAGTATCCAAAATCATAATTCCAGACCCCATTCCGAATTAAATCAAAAATTGTGTTTTCTATTAACTTTTAATAACCCCTTTATACATTGCAAAACTGTGTTTGAAATGCTGTAAAATAAAGTTGACCCTAACTTGAACCTGTGTCAGCGTTTCACCACAGGGAAGACAGGAACGTGTCAAAACAAAACGGTCAATACGCTCAGAGACGCTCTGGGAATTATCTCAGAATGATTCCATGTTTATTGTCCGCATAAAACACAATACACATTTTCAACCATATTTTTACATGGAAAATGTTCTGAAGGAAAGAGAAAGAGCCCAAATCACTCTTGTTACGCTGTGGAAATGCACAGTATTGTTCCTCGTGTTCCTCTTGCGTAGTTGTATAACTTCACCCATGTGTAAGCAACGGCCTTAATGACTTCTACATGTTCCTCTGCTTAAGCAGGAAGACTAGTTAAGAGGAGAGTTGTTTTAACCCACCAGTCCGTGTCCCTCAGGGCAACTGCGGTTTTGTTTTCCAACTCTCAACGTGTGTTTTTTTGGAAAATCTGATTATTCGTTTGATATCGCTTATTATTCCATGACAAATTTCAAGTCTTTGAGTTTATGACTTTGATTGTATACTTGTATGTATTGTATCTAGATTTGAAAAAAGCTATTGATAAATAAATTTAATCAATTAAACAACTTTAATATCATTTACCATTTATTCACCTCAACCAGTGATTTCACAATAAGGACCACCACGTGCCTCTTTAATCAAAGACTCGTGTAAGTGATCATCTATAAATATTAACATTAACATAGCCGACCAAATCCAAGTTTAAGATAAAATATGTATCATGTTTATTATACTGCACAAGTATTCTCCAGAAACAGTTTTTATCACATTGTGGTTTGTTTAGCAGCAAATGTTTTGTCTTTTTTTCTTTTCTCTAATTAAGTATATAATATATAGTTCTTTATATATCTATAATTAAATTCATTCACCATTTCTAACAGTGTACATATGATCTTTTAGGTTACATTATACAATCTATCCACCTCAAGCAATAAATACTCACCACTAAATAAGTTTTGTACCAGTGTATTTTGGGCAGGCGTAATTCAAATCTATGACAAAGAAGCAATTTTTGAAAGAAATGTTGAAAAACCAAAACAACCGCAGTATTATTCTGATGTCTGAAAGTCCTTAATACTGACCAACATGTTTTTTAATATTGTCACCACTTCTAGAATCCTTAATGAGAAAAGAAACCATAGCTGACATGTGCTGACAAAGAAGATGTGGAACTATGTGACTTTTTCTCTCTAAACGAAAGATTAGAGTCAGACCAAAGTTATCACCATAGATTTTCTGGCTTCTCTCCTTCACAATGTTGAACTACAGACTCTTTGGAATGTTGGGATGTCAGATTAATGTTGTCCATGTGCATCAATAAATAATTTTTGTCAACATTTTTCCTTACTTTGTTCTGAATTGTTTCTTTTCATTTGTTTTGCCTGTTTTGCTCTAAATTTCCCCATTTTTGTTTGCATTTTTTTTGTTCTGAATTTTCCCCTTTTTTGCCTTTTTTAGTCATAACATTCCTATTTTGTTGCTTTTATTGCTCTGAATGTTCCCATTTTTTTGTCATAATTAGTCTACATGTATTCTTCCAAAGCACGTTCCGGCTCATCACCACACACAAGCGCCTCTCCACTCACCGCTCCTGCTGTTCTCCAGATTCCTCCTCCCTCCGTTCCTGGCCTGGTTTGACTCCTCAGCTCTGGGCTCCTCCACGACCACCGCGGCGGCCGGTCTGTCCAGCTTCTCTGTGCCGTCGTTTTGCACCGTGCATCCTGCGAGTGCTACTGTCAAAATCACCAAGAAGACCACCGGCAGAGGCTCCATGACTGCAGCTGTGCGGACCGCTGGCTCCAAAAGTGATGAATGAAGCTCTCCTCTCACAGGTGGGTTTTTTAAGTCTTCTTTGTACGTGCGTGTGTGTGTCACTGTGTGTGTGTGTGTGTGTGTGTGTGTGTATGGACAATATAGGACACACCCACACGCAGACACAATGCGCACTTCAGAGGGGCTGTCGTGTATTCAGGGCGTCACAAAAGGTGGAATGTTATTTCAATAAATCCATTCAAGAAATCACTGCGCTGCTTCATTCATGGCTTTTTTATTTTTTTGGTAAAGAACCCATTCATGTTTTTGTTTGTAAAAGCTCGTAAAAATTGCCGGTTTTGAAGTTTTGTGGATGAGTTCAGTAAGTTCACAGTAAAAGTGTGTGTGAGCTTTTGTTTGAGGCGATGTGTGTCGCCTTTTCATGTGTTTGTTATTTTCAAATGTATTTTCATGAAACTTTGTCAGAACATCCGTAGAGCCAGTTATTTACTAGATGTAATTAGGCCTCTGTCACATCTGCCAATCAGCTCTCAGCTCAAAGACACCACATCAGCTCAAGTTACCTACTCAAAAAGGGTTAGGGTTAGAACCCAAACCGTTTCATAGTATTTTAAAACAATCTTTAACCTGCCTTGCGACAAACTCTTTTTGCTTTTTTTATATAAAGTTATAAATCTAAAAAGTCACACAAGGGACAATACTTTGAATAATGACAACGTAACAAGAACAAGCTTTATGTATTTCATTTTAATTTACGGGTCTGTAAAACATCTTTGCAGTATGCTTGAATCTCAGAAAACTATGAATTGATTACAGCCCTACATTTATTGTATATCATACTTGAATTATACAGTATATGAGGATTGTCCTGAAGCTTATGAAAGAACCCCCCTCCTCAGAGGGAACGCCTATTAAAACGTGTCTCGCATATCACCAAAATGATTGACAAATAGGAGGACCAATAGTCTAGATCAGTGTTTCCCAAAGTGGGGATTGCGGGACCTCATCGAGGGGGTTGCGGGACCTCACTGAGGGGGTTGCGAGATAATTTCCATAAAATATTTGTTTAAAAGGTGGAACAAACCCTTTAATATTTTTGTTGCACTTGATTTGATTGAATATGACTACTTGTTAAATTGTGTCTGATAAAAACAAAACATATTAATATATTATATACAAAGTCGTCTATGGAGGAGTACAGACCAGGCCAGAGAAAAAATACATGCTTTACATTTCACGCGACTGGAAGAGCTGTTGTGGCGGAGGTAGGGGGTCGCAGGGCAGCAGCGCATTTATTATGGTGGTTGCAGACTAAAAACTTTGGGAAGCCCTGGTCTAGATGATCCATCCAGAAGAAGAAAATCCTCCTATATAACTGTTTTCTTCCACTTTATCTGTTGCCGGGTTGTGGGGGTAGCACATAGACTGTAAAATGTCAAAAAATGTGCTCTACTGGAGCTATCCAAAATGGCCGCGAGTGGTCCCGCCCACAAGAAAATGGTGAAAAAAACGCATCTCCATTCATTTAAACGAGTGTCTTCAAAAATTCACAACAACTAAACTAGAGTGGTCCAAAAAATTCACTCCCCTCAGCATTGACACACATGTGGAACGGAGCTTTGGGCCAAGAGCCAACTTTTTCGCCCATCCTGTAAAGTTGTTTTCGAGAGGTAAGAAGATGCTATGCTTTAAAAATGTCGGCCGATTTTTCTCCGTGTTAGACCCCACACGGGGAGATTAAAAATCCTGCGTCTAACCACTTTGGTTGTGCAGTGTGTGGTGCCGTAGCCACACGGCAAGATCACGCAAGCCACAAACATCACACACGAACCAACACGAACCCCCCCCCCCCCCCCCCCCCCCCCCCCCGAGCATTCCCAGGTCAGACGGAAATCTCACAAAATCTCTCGAGATCAAGCGTGACTTCAGAGTAAACAGTCATGGCGGACGAAGAGGATGCAGTGGCGATAGTGTGCAGTTTGTTGTTAACAGAGAAGACACGTAATCCAAAGAAAAGGCAATGGTCAAAGCCATGCTGCTGTGTTTTGGTTTTTTTCCGGTGTTTCCTCACCGGCTTGTCACCTCGTCTTCTTATTGGCTACACGCCGTAGTCATGGCAACGCGCTCGCTTGTCCTCGGAGGACACCACACACGACCAGAAATCGGGCCAAAACAATCCAACATGTTGGATTTCCCCGATTTGAGATCGGGAGCAGTCCCGATGTCCTTCCGAGCGACGAGTGCAGTCTTAACACACCACACACGGCAGGATAATCTGTAAGATTTTGTTACGGAAATCGGAGCGTTTCTTAAGATTGTCGTAAGGGGTAAATCGGGTCTAAATCGGCCTAAATATCCTGCCGTGTGAACCAGGCTTAAGGGAGCGCCTAGCCACTCTGCAAATGGAAACTCATTTTAACCGCCTGTATCCGTGATCACATCATTTTGGTTATTATCCAAAGCTCATAATCATAAGTGAGGGAGGGAATGCAGAATATGGTTTAAATACAGAGCTTTGACTGCAGACGCTGCTCCCTCTTCACTGCACCAGCTCACTACAATGACCATCTGTCACTCTCAGGCTCCTTCCTTCCCTCACTGAGGGACCTGTGTTTGTGTTTGCTGCTTTGAAGTGAGCATAAACATGTGAGAGGCATCCACCGACCTGACGCAGACTTGTCTCCTCTCGTGCCCATGAAAGGTTTTTTCTCTGGCTCTAATCTTCCACAGCTACAAGAAGAAGAGGAAATCATTAGATGACTTAGGGGAAGCCACTTTACTGCACTGCTGAATGTCTTTTTTGTTTTATAAGAAATGTTATGAAGATTTTGTTATGCATGCCTTACATCTTTTTTACTCTTACACCTTGCTTGCATCTTGAGTCAATGCAAATTCCTGTTACTTACATGGCAATGAAAAGTAATTCTGATTCTGTCTGTATTTATCAAAACCCTTTATGATGACTCAGACAGATTTTCTAATGCCTGAAAAATGATCTGTAAAACATTAAATCTGTTTAGGACCCTTTGGAGACCCTACAAATGGCTGGACGCTTGGTGAAACTGAAGTTGCCTTTTGATGACTAATTTACTCTTAAGTGGGAGCAATGGGCCTCATTCACAAATAACTTCGTAAGAAACTTCTTAAATTTCTTCTCAAGTCGTTCTTAAGAAGATTTCTAAGAAGACCCTACGTGGGATTCATCAACACGCTCTTAAGGCGCTGAATTGTTCACAGCTGTTCTCTTAGATTGATGAATGCCAACTCCTCGTAAATAGAGCGCGCGGACCAGCATTGAGACCAATGCAGACCCGAGGAGAGACTGGAGTGACCAGCACACAGAAACCAGTGCGGACCTATAGGAGAGACCGCATAGACCTGACTGGAGCCAGCGCGGACCGAGGAGAGACCGTAGACTGAACAGACCTGACTGGAAAGACAGGTGCGCAGAGACCAGCGCGGACCGAAGAGAGACCGCATGGACCAGACTGGAGAGACCAGCGCGGACCCGTATGGATCCAGGAGCGTGCAGCACGGACCCGAATGGAGAGACCAGTGCAGACCCGTCTAGAGCCATGGGAGAGACCAGTGCAGACCCGTATAGATCCATGGGAGAGACCAGTGCAGACCCGTATAGATCCATGGGAGAGACCCCGCAACCTCCTGCAGCAGCAGTATATATTAGATTGTTCTGTGGCCCGTGGATAAAGAAATGCCCCCTATAAATAGGATGGGGTCACTAATTCACGGCAAGATTTCCAATGTATTTGATAAAGCGATGGCACATTTTATTTCAAAATGAATAAAAAAATAGGCTAAATTACCATTAACAATTAAATAAATAAATACATACATCAACATGACGGACATATCACTGTAATGTTGTGTTTTATTGAACTTCATAACACCAGCGTGCGAACATGTCGGCACTGAATGTGCGTACGAGTGCTCCTGAGCATTCGTAGGATTTGTACTTACCCAAGAGAAATTCTGGTTACGAGAAAATGTCATTAATGCCACAATCTTCGTAAAATCTTCGTAAGTAGGATTTACGCACAAATTTGTTCTTAAGTACGGTTCGTGAATGAGGCCCAATGTCCAGAGTGGTCCACGTGTCGTTCATAGCTTCTGTCTGCGGGTCGCTCTAACAGACTGTAGAATGAGCAACAGTTCACTTTCAGGACGACTCTTTCAGGACTTCAAGCACTCCTTCCTCCCAACTTCAGTGGCCCTCTTAAATTAAAATAATGAATCAATTATAATCCTAAAAACTGAAAACAATTGAAAAGAGATGTTGGATAGAAATAAGTACTATTCAATCTGGAGAGACGAGGAGACAAAATGCATTTGAAGTATTTTATTGAAGGTAGTTTGGCGCCCTAGGCCCCGGTGCGGCGTTCAGTCAGCGAGGCTCCTGCGAGAGTGCGCGCACAATCCCCCGGGACCTAGGCACTGGTGGCGGCATTCGGGCAGCAGGAAGAGGCATGATTGAGGCAGGGTGAGAAAAGGAGGAGGAGGGGAGGCGGTGGTTTGCAAGGCTTTGAGAAGGCCGTAAAGTGGGAGTTTCTCCGCTTTTAAGCGGCTGGCCTGGCCGGCTTAGGTTGGTTGGAAATGGGCGTTTGCTGTGCGATAGGCTGGGGCTGCGAGGCCGGCCTGGAAGGGGTGGCTTTGCTGACGTCTTCCAAATTGAATTTCCGCGAGGCTGCATTTCAGTTTTAAATGAATAAATCTAGGGATGGAAATTTCAAAATAGCCTTGACTATAACTGTTGTATTGTTTCACATTTTGATTGTGTACACTTGTCCCTATCAAGTATATAAATACACCAATATATAAATATATCTAAATAAATACACACTAGTCCAGTTTTTGTTTCAATGTATGTACTTCTTTTTCATACGAATCGGTGAAGCACTGAATCCCACAACAAAAGTACCTTAAGGGAAAAAACATTTCCCGACCAGACACAGTAATCTGAGATGTGGCGTTGGTCTTCGCAG